AGAATTCTGGTTCGAACTGAAAGAGTCAACATGACTTCTCCCAATCGGCTAGTAAGTATTTATATTATTATTAAAACATAACTGAAAAGACCTATGTGCCYTTACTTAAGTTAAGAGCACATGTTTCAACACAACATTACAGATCAGCAACATCAATCAAGGTATAAAGACAGAAATACCCCTACGCTAACACAATTCATCAAAGATAACTCTACACATATTGCACAGAAACTGTACTTGGAAATATTTTGATTGAAAGAGTTTATATAGACAAAACATAGAATACATTAAGAAGGAGAGATTATAGTACATTGTCTCAGAGAGAAAGTACATTGAGAAGAAATACACCATCACGGCGAGAAGGGTTTCATTTTTCTCCTGATAACGGTTGATGCCTTTAAAATTGTTTAACAGCATCTCACTTTGAGAAAATCTTGTGTGCAGCCACAAGGATGTTGTTGACCTCTGTTGTCAACCTTGCTCTCTCTGAGGAGATCTCTGTTAGCTCTTTCTTCAACTTTTCTGCCTGCTTGTCTAAGGCTGCATAATGGCTCTGAATCTCGTGGCCTGAATCAAACAAAGTGATACATTGCTTGTCAAACTCTGAAATAACCACCATGTAGCCAACTCTCTCGATCAGTCCATCAAGCGCAAAGCTTTTGGGTCAAAAGAAGTGCTAACTCCTTTGCTGATGGGTTAGCTAAACAAGGGGTCAATAGGACTCATTTGCAATTTTTTTCTGGTTTGCTTTTTTTTGGCCTTGTTTTGGGAGAGTTAATAAAATTTACCTCTCCCTTTGTATCTTTCTTCTCTATTAATGAAACTCACCTGTTATTGATCAAAAAAAAAAAAAAAAAAGAAAAACAGCCAGATGGTAGTGTGGAGAGAAATAATGCATGGTTGGTTGCTAAAGCATACACCACGGACTTATGGTGTTGATTATTTTCATACCGCACTAGTTGCCAATCTGGGTTCAATGCGGGGTAATTATTTCTTTGTCACACTTTAATTGGCCCTTTTCTAACTTGATGTTAAAAATTCCTTTCTCCATGGTGAGCTTCAATAGGAGGTCTATAGGGAGCAAACTCCTAGGTATGTTTTTCGGAAGGAGGTTGGCAAGGTGTGTAGACTGAGAAAAGTGGTTTATAGTTTGCAGCAATTCCCACAAGCTTCATTTAGTTGGTTTAGTAGTGTGGTACAGGAGTTTGGCCTATATTAGTGTAGTGTTGATCATTCTGCATTTAGTAGAGATACTTCTTCAGAGAAGATTATTTTGCTAGTCTATGTTGATGTCATAGTTTTTACAGGAAGTGATGTAGATATACAAGGAACTAGTGAAATGATGTAGTTTCTGCTGTAGAAATTCCTAACCAAAGACTTGGGATAACTAAAGTACTTCCTAAGAAATGAAGAGTAGCATGGTCAAAGTGCCCATTTTCTAAAACAGCTAGCAAGTAGGCTCTTGTTGAGCTTTCCACATCTTGTAGAGAAGAAGAATTTTAATAGCTTGATGTATCATAATACTATACTCTGGATGAACATTATCCATTTGCATTTCTTTATTTTTTCCATATTTACCTTTTAGTCCTTAAAGGGACCTCTTTGTTTGTAAATACTTAATCCAATATTAAATGATTACTTTGGTGGTTGGGGTCAATCCTTCTGAACACTCCATATACTGTTTCTCTCTTCTTTTCTCCTGCACACAGTTCATCTCTTTGGGTAAAACATATGCAGATCCTTTTGCCCAGGTTTACATGGTATAAGAGCCATGTTCCTGAATTACTCTGGATACCAGATTCAAGCTTTGTAAGTGAGCAAGCAAAAGGAAACCATATGCCATTCAGAACTTTGGGAAAATCGGGTTTCTCAAATAGGATATCAAGAATGGGTCTAAACTCTAGTTTTTTTTTTTTTTTTTGGACTGGAATATTATTCTCATGCTCCAAAACATCTTAGATTTTTTAGAAAGGAGATGGACCTGTTTTGTGCTTTTCTGTAGTTGACAGAATCTGGAAATTATAGGTGATGGATTTTAATCCACAGCATTGATCATCCCTTTTAATAGACCTTTTGGAGTGATACCACAAGATACCTGGTCACCCAATATAGGTCTAATTGAAGGGAAGTTGCTCAGTGGAGATTGATTTGTTGGTAGGCTTACGGTGCCATCTTGATGGTTCTGTGACTAAACCTAATGAAGATTGGGCTAAGGAACTTTGATAATGGAGTATGTGGGAATTGTGTCTTGGATCTTAGGATTTGTGGAAACCAGTATAAGAATTGCTATGAAATGGCTGAAAACTGCAAGGGAGATGTTTATATCTGGAACTAGTTCACCAGGAAACGAACTTGGAATAAAGGTTTCAGATCGAGTTGAGTATTCTTTCATACACCCATTGAGTGAAATCAGCCTAAGAGTATATGCTGGTTTCATGATGGTCTGGTCAGAAGGTGATGTTATTTCTCATTATTGTATCTGGACTATGACAAAACTACTAGATAAGTGCAACATTATGCAGTTTCTCATGAAGTTGTATCTGGAGTTTGAAGTGCTTAGAGCTGGAGAGCTAGAATACTTAATGGAGGCTCCTTACGTGACATGGATGCAATTTTTTTATCAGTAACAAAATGGTTTGTTAAATAATATGATTGGTGAAACTTTAATTTCAAGAAAGGGGAGGTAAACTATCTTAACTCCCCCACAACAAAGGAACAAAGAAGAAAGCTAAAAATTAGCCCAAAACATAGATTCCTTAAGTGCCCCTTGCTTGGCTAACCCATCAGCCATTGAGCTAGCGCTTCTCTTCACCCAGCTGTATGAGGGGACAAGAATTACCACCAAAGCATCATTGGAAGGGAAGAAAGAAGCTGAGACTGTCTTCCTTGCAAGTAGGTTCAAAGGGAAAACCTCTAAAAGTGTATTGTATTGTTTCTGGTGCAATACTATGAGTATAAAGAGTTTGGGCATAAGATCTTAGATGACAAGATGAAAAAAAACTTCTGAAATCACATGGCAGGGGCATATTTTGTTTAGTCTTCTTATGAACTATACTCTGGTGAAAGACAAATAGTCATTGCCAATGGAGAGAAGTTGAGAGGAAAGAAGGAGTTGGCTAATTTTGCCTAACTTAGTTTTATTATATAAGTAGGTTACAAGATACAAGATAATATTGCCCATACACCTTGTTTATACACAAATAACCATTAGTAAAACATCAAGAAAATTATACAAGGAAAATGAAGCTTGTTGGTTATTCCATATATAATATGTGGAAGTATGTATTTTTTTATTTTATCTTTATGCTTTTTTGGTTTTGTTTTGGTGAAAGAGTGTACTTTGGAAAGCTTAACTTGTTCTCCGTCCTGTTATTTTTGCTGAAAATTTCATCAGCTTCTCAAGTTGTTTCATTTCTTATTATGCTTCTTTGTACAAACATTTCTGATTTTTGACTTCATCTTTTATTCTCTCTCTAGAATCAATATGTAAGGGCCATTACCCATGTTGGCCCTACCTATCCAGGTCATGGGAGGGGTGGACTGGATACAAACCTAATTATGGCATTTCTTGCATTACTCCAACCCATTTTCTAACATTTGTTAGCACATGATTTTACCATAGTGAGACCTATCTGAGGAATCAATTACAGTACATACAATGAAAAGTATGATGTCCATATTTCACTGTGTTGATCAATCTGACCCCATTCTTGTACAGATGTTCTACTGACTTAATGATCTGAAACTTCATTTGCCGAGCATCTGTTTGTTTCTTTTCTTCCAGGATGGTGGGGTGCATTGTTCATAATCCATTAAAATCCTCGTATGTATATATGTGCATGTACACATGTGTGTAGCCCTAGTAGGTAGAAGTTTATTTTAATATATTTACATAAACACTATTTCTCTAGCACTTTTACTGCTATTTTGTTTTTAACCAGATGAGTTGCTTCAGATGCATGCAGTGGTATTGCTTTACAACTACTACCACAGGAAACAATTTCCACAGCTTGAGTTTCTAGATTTTGCATCTTTCTGCAAAGTGGCTGTAAATGCCAAACCAAATTTGTTGGCACATATGAAATTCATGCAAGGAGGCAATGCTGACACAGCTAACCTTGATGAACACCTTTCAATCACTGAGAAAGCGATTATGGATGCATGTAATATTTGTCTATGGTTAGATGCATCCAAAGATGTTCCAAGCATAGAGGGATGGCCAATCACTGAGGTCTCTGTTTTACTTATTGATTCTGCAAAGAAGAACTGTTCACTGATGTTTAGTTCCAAAACTCAGGGGACCTGGTCACTGATAGAGAAAGAATATGACAATACAAATCCTAAATCTGAAGGTATGCTTGGTGGAAAAAGTACAAACAAACATAAGACAGTCACTAAGGGCTTTGATGAAGCTAGCTTTCAGCAAGTTGCATTCTTAGCGGTTAAGGAAATCACAGGTTTGCATTTTCTAATCCCCCTTCATTCTTGCTCAGTTTCTCTCTCTCTCTCCCCCCTCTTTTGATACAAATACGAAGATTTTTCTATCTTTATAGTAGTTGGAAAAAAATACTATGCCTATCACATGCGTGACAATTACCTACTACAGCTTCTAGGATACCTTATAACAGTAACCTGCTTTATTATGTTCTTAACCTTTTATGCAGTCCTTGCTGATATCTTCTGTTTCTTTTTTTGTCTTTCGGGGTTATAAAAATTTTATAATTTGTTGGTGGCACCTGTGTATGGGCATTTTTATAGTTTATACTAATAGTGGGCTTCTAACAAAACTATTCTTCTTTTTCTTCTTATTCTCTCTAAACATTGTTTATCATCATCTACACTCACAAGTTGGTCCCAGTGCAATATTTTGATCAAGAACTGGTTATTGCACATTTGTCTGACTGCCGACTGCTGACATTGGTAGCTATACAGTTGGCCATAACCCCAGAACATGGAAACCCTTGAATCTAATCAAGCTTGATTTTAGACACATTTTGGTAGAGGTTTGATCTTGTTTTAAAGCTGTTATGATATTTTAAGTTCTTCTCTTAAAAAAACTTTAAAAAAATATTTGGAAAACACTTTGGATGCATGGCTTGATTTTCTTTTTCCATCCATTTTGTGGGTGGTAAGCCTGTAATCTTTTCAATTATCTAATGAAAGTTACTATTTCCTATAAAAAAAAAACACTTTGGATGCATGGCTTGAAGTCGTTAAGGACTCTGGTGCAAAAAGTGACACTGAATGTTGTAACATGAAGATTACATAATTGAACTCTTCTCTGGTCCTTCAGGGGTTGGAGATTCACCAAGGCTGAAGTGTGGGCAGCTCTTATTTGTCTTAGAAGGGCAAAGGCACTTAAGAAACTTGGAAGTTGAAGGTGATTCACAAGTTGTGGTTAGTTGGTTGAGTGGTAATAACAAAGAGGCACCATAGAAATACTAATATGTTTTGACAGAACTTTGAAGACTAATGGAAGATATAAGGGTGCAAGTGAGCTAAGGTGACATCTTGGATACTTCTTTCCTCATTACTGTGTTTTTATGATTTGAATTCAGGGAGGATCTAATGTGACCTTTGAGAGCGCTGTTTGAACCCATGGATTCACAAGCTGATTGACAAGGATGGAGATGGAGGAGAGAAGTGGACATCGAAGTGAAAAAAGTTCTGCTTTGAGGAAGGGAGAAACAATGGGAGGTGGATTTTAAAAATCAGGGAAGAAAAAAGAGCCACCGTTGTAGTAGTTGAGGAGGTGATTGGGTGACTGAAGGGCTTTTTGGCTGGAATGATATTCTCCATTAAAAAACAAGGTTGGAAGAGTGTAGTGGAAGTAGCTGGAAAAGGTTCAAAGTTGAAATGGGGAGGATTGTTAAAGGATGGTTTATGGTAATCTTGGAAATATTTGGTGATAGCAGAAGACAGATGCTGTGTGTGTCAAGAGGGGAGAAAGAGAACTAGGTGGAGAACGTTTTGCAGACTTATTACAGGAGTTTATGCTGAATGTGGAAGAAAGACAAGTTTCAAAAATTTGTTTTAGCCCAAAGATTTTGACGAACTGAGTTCTAGGGAGAAACTGAAGGAGGAAAAGCCAAACTATGGAAACCCAAAAGCTATTGTCTGTAGTGTTTCTAGAAGCCAAAGTTTGTTCTTAGAAGAGGAGAAAGGAGCTTGGGAGAAGAATGCGATTCTTTCATCAGAAAAAAATACTGGCTGGGGAAGGATTTTGAAGGCGGTAGTGGAGAGATTTAAGTTAAAGGGTCTGGTGGATATTAAGCCCTTATATGGAGTTGACAAAGAGGTGGTGATTCCCATAGAAGAGGACTGACAAAGGATCGAAGGTCATTGGCCATTCGTTGAAGGATGCCGAAGAGGCCCCACACGGGTCAGAAGGAAAGGATAGGCCTAATAAAGTCTTCATTTCAAAATTTCTTGAAAAAGAAAAACCAGGGATAGGTGCAAAAAGTCATGTGGAGGCCATTATGAGCGGAGCCACGTCAGCCAAAGAAGTTGGATCACAAGATGTTTAAAGTCTAATCAGAGTTGGTCTGATCTGGTTCATGTCCAAGAGATGGATCCGGTTTTAGGTATGGGTCAGGTTAGCAATAGTAGGACAAGTGATTTATTTTTGTCACATGACTCAAGTATAAAGGTCTTTTAGCGACTCGACTGGAGTTGATTTGCCTCTTCTATGCAATTCATGCCTATCATCACCTATCTCAGAATGGTGTACTCGCCTGAAGATTTCGTCTCATCCAAATGGAGTTTCAAATGAAGGTCAAGCTAGCAACGTTGATGTGTTCAAGGGCAGGAATAAAAACCAGAGCAAGAAGGAAGGATAGAGTTGTCAAAAATAAGTTGGTAGGTCTTAACAGACCAAATTTTAAAAGGGGGGGGGGGGACGTCATGTAGAAGTGTCTCATCTGGAAGCAGAAAGAGAAAGGGGGAAAAGTGGTTGTGGGTGATCGCCAAGTATGATAAGAATGGTAACAAGAGGATTTTTGGTGGAACAGGTATGAATCTTGTTGAGTGCCCAATTTCTTTAGCGGTTGGTGATTCTTGACAAAGTTCTCAGGTTGGCAGAGGGTCTGAGGTGATTTGCGCCACCGCTGAACCTGGGGTTTCAGTTGATGTACCTCTTGAGATCAGGCATGATTCTTGGGGACTGGCTCTGTTGATCTCAGAAACAGATTCCTCTATTGGTTTAGAGATTCTGGAAAGAAGTGCCATTAATGGTGCTGATGCTGAGATTGACGGTGAGACTGGAGGAAAGGGGGTTACAGGTGATGACGGAGCCACTAGGGATTAGGTTGAGAGTTACGTCAAGGATTATTTTCAGTTCAAGGAGGTGAAGGCTAGAAGGGTGGGTGTTGATTTGGGCTGAAGGAGCAAGTCTGAAGAAGAGGAGGTGGAACAGATTAACGGGGTGATTAGTAAGAAATTGTGTAGTTCAAGAAGTCATAATGTAGTGCACATGACAAAGATCTTCTCCGGGCCAAAACTTGGTCTGGCAGGGCCAGGACCTATAAAAAACTACAAATGGGTTTACAGGAGGAAAAGAGCTAGAGACAATGGAGTGGTAGGTATTGATCATAGAGGGGCAATGACACAAGTTCAGTCATCGGTATTCCATTCGGGGAAGGAGCAACATGATAACAAAATGAGTGGCATTGACTCTGATTCTGGTGCAAGTTGGATGGTGCAAAATAATGATGGTAATGTCGGTAGCTCGGGGTATGCGATTGTCCATAATGTAGTGGATAGAGTGGTCACAGTTGGTAAGAGCGTAGGCCTGTTTTTCTAGGGTGGTGAGGTGTTTGCTAGAAGGGCTTTTGAGGAGTTTGAAAGGAGGAGATGGCAAGAGAAAGAGAACAAAAAAACTAATCGGGGGAAGGCAAGGTTTGGGATGAAGATGATTTAAGCCAGGAGGATGAGCTCATAGATGAAGTTTAAGGTCTTGGTCGATGTGGAAGGAGGGCTTGCGTTTCTGATCAGATGTCGGGTTGGCTGTCTTTGCTTCCTGGGGATTTCTCTTGGGTTTTTTCCTTGGTCTTTGCTTGGGGTTGTTTGGGTGATTCTTAAAGTTTTGTCAGCTGGGCAGTTATCGGATTCTATTATGGGGTTATTGAGGTCTATTTGATGGTTTTTCTGGGTGTGCTTTCCCTTTGGGTGATGTCTTATCACCTTTCTGTTGTATTCCTTTTTCCTTTTTAATGAAATTTTATTTTTATCCTTAAAAAAAAAAGAGCTAAGGTTTGGCAAAGGAAGGGGCTCCATGGGAGCAAATGTATTGGGGACAGGTTACATAACAGGTGATTCTTTGAACTCTTGAGGAGGTTAGATTGGAAAACTGTCCTCTTTGGGTTATTTGATCATGTTGTAATATGCTTTTTTGATTATTAATAAAAGTTACTTGTTCCTCATAATAACATATGGGGATTATATGATTCGTTTTACTTGTTTTTCTTCTTGATGATTTTATAGTCCCATATTTCTCCATCATGAGCTTTTATAGGAATGAAGGTGATGTGTTAACAAACATAGGAATGTGCAAATGTCTAGTAGGAAAGGCTCTCTGTCTTGGCTTGTTTCGACCTAATATCTCCTATATTAAGTCAATCCATGCATTAGCCATGATTGCCTCATTTAATTGCAGTAGAGGGGATACTTTTGTTATTTGTAGGGCACACCTAGTTGGGGTTGTTGTACTCTCATTATGGTTACCTGAAGTTTGAAGCTTATATTGATGCTGATTGAGCTGGATCTATGGATGGTAGACGATCTAGTTCTAGGTATGGCACATTTATTGGTGGTAATATTATTTATTTGAGGAGCAATGGTCCATGGAGTTTTAGAATTATTATGGCTGAGAGTTCTCATGTTAGAGGTGTGAGTTGCTTTTGAAGGACCCATGAAGCTACTTTCTGACAATCGTGCGACCATTAATATTGATAACACAGAAGTTGATAGACAATTTATTTGAGGGTTAGTGGCTGATGGTGAAATATGTTTTCCTTTTGTGGTGGAATCTATCACTTGGCTGATTGTTTAACTAATGGTGCACTTAAGGCTAAAATGGGGGAGTAGAGGACAATTTGTGCAAGCTTGGCATGCCTAATAGTTTTTGTGCCTAGTTAGAAGGGACTTAATTTAAGGAAAAAGTGATCATACAAGATATGACTAACATGACCTTGCTGGACCAAGTGAAATTTAGTGTTCTACCAAATGAAGTCTTGCTGCAGTCTTGGGGTAAAGGGTCTTGCGTGAGACCACATTTAGTAATTAGCATCTGAGAGTGCACCTAAGGCAAGACACATGACCAATGCCAGGGGAATCATGCTCGAGTGTACTTGATGTCTTTATGAACACATGTGGCATCTTGAGTGGATCTCAAGAATGTGGACTAACAACCTCGTGGTCCTTGGGACACATGTTCACAAGAGAGTCAAAAGTGGGATTT